GTTAACAAATCATCTTATTTCATCATTAAAAACATTTTAGTAAAAATCATTCTCTAAGAAATATATAAACAAATAGATAAATAAATCAAAATTGGACAAAATCCATTCAAATTTATTGATTTACTTTAAAAACATTGGAGAGTATAATTACTTACCTTAATAACTATCTTTCAATTACAATTACTACACAGCTATTCAAAACCTAAATAAGCATCAAAGTAAATATAATTCAATCACTAAGTAAAAGTTTATCCTGTACTTATCAGGCACTTACATAAAATAATTCTATAACCTTTACTACTGATATACTTTTCTTCAAATCCAACCATTTCAACACATACTTTTGAAAATTAACCATCCAAATAAATGATTCCCTTTTGAAATTTCCTCATGCCATGCCATCCAAATTCACAATTTTAAGATCAATTCCAAAACCAATAGTAAAATCAATCTCAACCCACACGTCTACCCATTGTCTTCATTTCGAAATTCCTAAATATTTCACCAACAATGAACAATAAATCACCTCTAGTTATACTTGAGAACATTAGGCTCTGCAATGTCTTCTCCTCTAGTGAGAATTTGTGAGATAAAGGAGGGCCTAATAAATAAATATTGAAAGAAACTTTTAAATTCCACCTCCATTATTCTTTTAATCAACAAAATTTTAAGTTTAGGAAGACAATTTACCTTGAATTTAGTCTAGTATGGCTAGACCTCTAGAGCTACCTCTCCCTTACATGCGAGAGGAAGAAGATGATCTTGTTTCCTAGAAAAAGAAAAAGAATTGAAGCTGCCAACCTTAATCTATTTTGGGTTTTCACAAAAGGAAAATATTATCACTTAGTCCCTAAGCTTTAACTATAAGGTTTTAGTCCCTGAGTCACCTCATTATAATTTTAACCTCAAATTTAATCCTATCACATATACATCCACTAAGGGCTTTAAATAAATTATTTACATTTAAAACATATATATATATATATACATAACCTTTGGTGTTACAAAGATAGTAAAAAATAAAAGCAAGAGATGAAAGAATGAGATAGGAAGAATGGCTCAACTGAGTATATAATAATAGCCAAAATAAAGTTCTCACATATTCATGGTTAAAGTTTGGAACTTTCAATCACTCATAATCAAATTGCTCAATTAAGTATCCAATTTAATGTAGCTCTTACGTAAAATTCCCAAGTCTTTAGTATTTCCTAAAACACATTCTCACATTGCATAAGGCATATGAACTACACACTCATAAAACACTATCAAGATTAAATATTGAAGTTCGTTATGTTTTTATATTTATAAAGTGTAATGCTTAATCCCACATAGGAACAAAAGTAGATTTTAAGTGGTATACACATATGGAAACTAATTAATATTAACAACTCAAATTTGAATAAGAAATATCATTATAGGAGGTAAACTTGGCAAAAGTGGATCCAATTTAAAAATCCAACCCAACCCAACCCATCCATTATGGGTCGAGTCATGAGTCCTATTGGTTAATCTGAAATCCAAAATGACCAAGATTGAAATTACCTAAACGCAAATGGGTTGAGTCAAGGGTGAGTTGAGTCACTCAAAATTACCCGAGATTTTTTTAATTTAGTTTTTTTATTAAATTACTTAAAAATTAATTTTAAATTTCTAATTTCCTAATCTTTAAAGTAGAAATAAAGAAAATACCCAAATCCTAACCTCCTATCAGTTTCACTTTCTCTAAACTTTTTCTCTTATCCACTCTTGCTTTTCCCTTCTTTGTCTTAAGTTCTTTAATCCTTCTCTTTGGTGGCACTTGTGTCAAAAATCAAATTATGTAGTACATAGTGACTTGTGTCATATGATATCACAAAAAATATCTTAAAAAAAAAACAAAAAGCAAGAATGCCTACTGAAAATTAAAATATAGTGGTTGAGGTATCCTCATCACTATTAGAAGCATAAAGACAAAAACATCAAGAACATCAAGGTTTGTTTTTAGTGGCTAATTTGTTTTAAATTACTAATTCGTTCTTAATTAATAATTTTTTTCTAGATAATAAAAATCAATCCCAATCTAATTTCTTATTGTATTTATTTAGATATATTTTGAATTTTCTTTTTGAACTTTAATATTGAATATTGCTATATTTTTGTATAATACCGTTCTAAATATTGAATAAAACTGTATTTTATGTATAATACATTTATAAATATTGAATAAACACTATATATTAACATATGTATTAGATTTGTCTTTTGAACTCTAATCCTTCATCTCTCTTCTTTTAATAAAGGTTTTAATGAAAGTTTATGCCTTTATGAAATTATGAATTCTAAATATTGTATAAGCATTATATATTTGACATATATTTTAGTTCCACTTATATAATCAGTAATTTTTCCTTTTTCTTTTCTTAAGATTGGAATGAAAATTGAATAATGAAATGAAAATTATTGTTTAATAAAGTTTTTTAACTAAATACTTAATTAGTATTACACTTTGTTGAAGAAACATAGAGAAAAATATAGAAATTTCGTAATTATAATTTTAGTTTTTTAGAAGTTAAGTCCACTCAACCCAATCTAAGACCCGTGTGGGTGCGTCATGGGGTTATCCCTTTAACCTGACACCCTAAAACCCAAGCTCCGACATGACTCAATACAAACCCATCTTCAGGGTTTAGGGTTTAGGGTTTAGGGTTTAGGGTTTAGGGTTTAGGGTTTAGGGTTTAGGGTTTAGGGTTTAGGGTTTA